ATTTGCATGCTGAAGAATATTTCTGGTTATTATTTATACATTAAGTGTTGACATATTGTCCCCCTTAGCATAAATATATTGTTCTCCATTTTTATGCAGTGATTTATATTTACCCCTAGACAGTTGTTGGCAAGGCCGATTTATTATCTTTTATTGCACTGCGGGGAGAAGAACCTTATTTAGTCTCAAGGGTGGTAACAGGGGACTGTTACAGTACTGGTGTGAGGCAGCAGGTGGGGGACTGTTACAGTACTGGTGTGAGGCAGCAGGTGGGGGACTGTTACAGTACTGGTGTGAGGCAGCAGGTGGGGGACTGTTACAGTACTGGTGTGAGGCAGCAGGTGGGGGACTGTTACAGTACTGGTGTGAGGCAGCAGGTGGGGGACTGTTACAGTACTGGTGTGAGGCAGCAGGTGGGGGACTGTTACAGTACTGGTGTGAGGCAGCAGGTGGGGGACTGTTACAGTACTGGTGTGAGGCAGCAGGTGGGGGACTGTTACAGTACTGGTGTGAGGCAGCAGGTGGGGGACTGTTACAGTACTGGTGTGAGGCAGCAGGTGGGGGACTGTTACAGTACTGGTTAGTTGATGCCGGTTAGGTATGCCGCCGACTTGGGCTAGGAACTGGAGTTAGTTTTCTGCTCTACAAAGTTACCAGTAAGTTGCTGGATAAACGTGAATATAAAACTGGTGGGATACAGTGAAACATTAAGTGTTGTTTATGAAGTGGAAGTAGCCTAGTGACCGTGAAATACAGAATAGTGAGTTATAGTGACATCATTAATTCTGGAGTGAATGTACTTTGAATTCTATTGTGGCGACAGAGAGACTTGTTAACCGTGCCAAATTACGGTAATTTAGTGACCAGTGGAAACGATTAATTGAGGGTAGTGGATACGCGGTTGTGAATCCTCACAACTGTGGATAAAGACTCATGGTTTGGTTATCATAGCGATTGTGTTGTAACCTGTGGGTTAGGTTGACATCCTGAGTTGTGAGAGTTAACCAGTGTTGTGAGGGTTAGGTTGATATCTTGGGGTGAAGGTTAGGTTGATATCCTGGGTGTGAAGGTTAGATTGATATCTTGGGTGTGAAGGTTAGATTGATATACTGGGATGTGAGGGGTTATGTTGATATCCTCGGTTATGAGAATAGATTGATATCTTGTGAGCCTTGGTGGAAATAAGGTTACATAGACACATAATATGTTCAGGAACAGAACGCAAATGCGTTAAACTAAGCACATTACACAATTTATTAAGAATTATACCAACAGTATCTTCAGTTAGTCGAACTGACATTACCCGCCATTAAATTCCAGGTTTTCCTGGACGCCTCGCATAGTTTTGTGGCTCCAAGACGACACCGTGGTGCTGGCGTAATTCTTCCTGTTGTGTATATTGGCAAGCTAGGCTTCCAGTTCACAGATGTGACTTATTTATTATGTATATATTGCACTATAAGAGCATATCATAATGTAATTAGTAATCGCGAAAGAATATCTACATGAACGAAACGAAGGGCAACTAGTACATTTCTGGCGAGGTATGTTATTTTGGGCCCGGTGAATATTACGTAGACTATGTTAGGATGCCTGCTCACATGAGTCGGCTATGTTAGGATGCCTGCTCACATGAGGGCTCCCAGTAACATTTCAAGTTTTGGAGATGCTAGGATACTATACGACACACAGTCGGGGTACAAGCGTTATTTTTTCACCACTAGTAATCTACAACGAATAACAGCTCTATAAATCAATGCACAGATAAATAAACTACACATATACCACTGTTATAAGATGGTGATATTGAAATCTAAAGAAACTATAAAAAGAAGAGAGCATATAAGCCAAAAAAAAAGTATAAACTGGAAAATCGTAGTTAGGTTGGTCGTAGCAGCAGCAGCAGCAGCAGCAGCCACAGCAGGGATTTATGTGTGTGAATTTACGGTGTGTAGAGCGTAGTCTAAACACGGAAATCAAGGGAAGCATGTTGACCAGACCACACACTAGAAGGTGAAGGGACGACGACGTTTCGGTCCGTCGTGGATCATTCTCAAGTCGAGTGTGAGAATGATTGACTCGACTTGAGAATGGCCCAGGACGGACCGAAACGTCGTCGTCCCTTCACCTTCTAGTGTGTGGTCTGGTCAACATACTTTAGTCACGTTATTGTGACTCATCGCCTGCACTCAAGGGAAGCATCTATAGCCCTCGTGAGATAATACACTACTCTACGTACAAGAGCAGAGCGGCCTGTGCAGTCATCTGTGGCCAGCACGAAGAGGAGTGAAGGCTGACAGGTGGTCGTGTACTGAGAGAGTAAAGCACAACAAAGCACCCCCACACAGTCAAAGGGTCGCGGGATAAATGGCTCCCACCACTTTTGCTTATCATACCTGCTCAGGAATTTATGAATGGAATTAGCCTCAACTGCCTTTTCTCCGGAGTCATTTCACTTGCCCGCTATTCTTACACCGAAAATGTGCCTTATTTTGGCTCAACTACAACAATTTTACTGCAATATATCGTCAATTAAATTGTAAGCAAAATATTTGGTTTAAAAAGGTTAGTTTGATTTACACTGCTGCACATCTGTTCAGTACACCAAAATTGTAACTATTTGTACCATTTGTTACTAAAGAAAGATTCTGATTTGGAGTTATAGTTTTCACCCATCCATACCCTCGTCCTGTCCATTATCATACTTAACATTTGTCCATTTTGTCAATGCTTCTAAGAATTGTGTATGTTGTGATAAGGTCGCTTCAGTTTCACCTATCTTCCCTCAGAGTGAAATCTAGCTCCAGCCAGACATTATTCAAGCTCGACCCTCCAGCCTACTACAAGAATTAGTTAGTCATTTAGTAAACTTTTAACCTTTCTCTTGCTTTGATACTTTTGTTTATTTGTTTATAGTTAGGAAGTGATTCCAACTTGTGTTACACATTCTCGTGTTGATCTATACCTAGAAGGGGTACCACCTCTGGTGCAAGTGGTGCACTTACACCTATATATACACATATATCCAACAATAATGTGAATAGTAAATTTCATTCGCCAGGGTAATAGGAGCCTCGAACACGCGACCTCTGGGGTGAGAGGTGAGTACTCTATCGATTGAGCTACGGAGATCCTTCCTCCACAAGAAGGCAGGATTTCAGAGGCATCAAACCAAGCACCAGTCGTATCTCTTGTTGGATGAGCCTGCCTGAAAAAAGAGCAGTCGTCGACCTAGGCCCTACCTTAAGAAGCCTACCAGGCTCTCAGTCCGTAACAATAATAAACTTTGTAACCACATCACATTTACTCAAAACATAACTGGATAAAACACTTCAGGTGTTTAACTCAGCTACCTTTGTGTGCTCTGTACGGTAAGCCAAGGCGGGGTTTATTGCGCTAGTTCAGTAACCTCGCGTGACGGCACACACGAAGTAAACAAATAACGAATGTGTAGCATCACCTCCATTCTTTATGATGAGGTCTAACAATACAAGTGTCAGTTTGACGCCTGTCTCGCCAGACGCAGTGTCAACATATCACCTCTGTCTCAGCTGTCACATGTGTCAGTGGGATGTCGCACCTGTCATAAGTGTCAGTGTGACGCCTATCTCGCCAGTCACAGTGCCAGTATATTGTCTCTGCCTCAGCTGTCATAGTTGTCAGTGGGATGTCTCACCTGTCACAAGTGCCAGTACGATGCTTCTATCTCGGCTGTCACAGGTTCAAGCGTGACGCCTCTCATAGGTGCCGGTATGACACACCTGCCATAGGTGCCGGTATGACACACCTGCCATAGGTGCCGGTATGACACACCTGCCATAGGTACCGGTATGACACACCTGCCATGGGTGCCGGTATGAAACACCTGCCATAGGTGCTGGTATAACACACCTTACGTAGGTGCCGGTATGACACACCTGCCATAGGTGCCAGTATGACACACCTGTCATAGGTGTCGGTATAACACACCTGCCATAGGTGCCGGTATGATACACCTATCATAGGTGCCGGTATGACACACCTGATATAGGTCCCGGTATGACACACCTGCCATAGATGCCAGTATGACACACCTGACGTAAGTGCCGGTATGACACACCTATCATAGGTGCCGATATGACACATTTCCATAGGTGCCGGTATGACACACCTTTCCACAGCTACCAGTATGACACATCTGCCATAGATGCCGATATGACTTACCTATCACAAGTGCAATCACCTATGCCACATCTGTCACAGGTACCGGCATGACATACCTACTTGTGCCGGTATGACACATCTATCACGGGTGTCATAAGAGAATTTGGTACACACACAGCTGGGAAGACGTGAAGTTATCATAATGACGCTGCTCTATGATAATAACTCACATTTTCAGGGCCGTAGGCATACTTCAAAAGTGTAAAAAAAAAAAAAGTACATCCTTCAAAAGTACGTGAGCAAAACCCTGAAACCCTCAAGTTTCTCCCAACGCCTCTTATCAGCACCTGCACTCACCAGCCTCCGGAGCTTGTCATTCCTTCATGCCTTCAGCTTCTTCTATCACAAACCATCTATCTCACCCTTAATGCATCACACTCACACTCACATTCAATAGGCCTGCAAAATGGTTTCATCTTGTTATAGAGATGCGCTTTGCGAGTTATGATGCTGAAGTGATAATTGGATTGTTTTCATAAACCTTCCAGTAGTGTTGACGGGAGAATATTGCGTTATCTCAGATGGCCTGTCGTAAATTTACTAATTATAGGCCTATGTACTGATACGTGGGACCGTCCGCATTCTATAGACATTTTTTGTTTAGTGGGAAGGAGCTAGGCTATATAAATAAATATACATTTACTCGCAAAATATTTTAAATATGTAGCTTTTTAATTAAAGTATGAAGTAATTAAAATAGATACATCATTTATTTGCAATTTTCGTCAATTTAATGCGAGGAGTATAGTGAAAGGTTAGTTAGGTTAGTTAGGACAATAGAGCCTCACGTCACCTACCTGTGAGCGGACGCCAGGTATAACCATGCACTTGTCACAAAGTATACACACTGCACCTTACAAGGTGGACATACACAGTATACACACAAGACACCACGCTCGCAACTGCACTTATTAGTAACCGGTTACACGAAGTGAGGAGCACGAGAGAGAGCTCTGAGGACGGGAGGCGAGAACGAGAACACTCCGGCAGAAGGCGAGACACAGCAGCCGGGTCCTTTCTGCCCGGCCTCACCAGCAACACTGACTCTCGCTCCAGTATGCTGCCATCACCTGCCTCCCGCTGCCACCCATCACCCTCTATACCCTCTATCCATCCTCTATTGTAGTCCAGTGCCCAGAAATAACTGCTCCTCTATGCAAGGAATACAACTGTTGTACAATACATTTGAAAAATTTGCAACGGTTGTCACATATTAGACTGCAAAATGTTTTCGCTTCAACATTTCAATTATATGACAATAAATTGTTCACATATTTTTCTTTTACAGTAGTGAGAAGGGTTCATTATTTAAAAGAATATCCACGTGACAGGCGCCTGAGGCCACAAATGTTCCTGAGATAAAAACCATTAAAATTTCTGAGAGGCAACCTACACCACACTACTAGTGAAGAACCACGGTCAACCTTGCCACATGGGCATCAATAATGATCTTGGTCTTCGTCGGTCACATTAACTTACTAAGGTGTTTACGTGTATTTAGAATTTGTATTAAGTGCGTATTTAATATTTTGTTTGGTGTCTTTCTCGCTCCGATTAGATATAACAAAAATATGAAAAAATCGCCAAATGGCATTACTGGAAGACGCACCCAAAATTCCTCAGGCTATGACACCAAGGCTTTCTGGCGTTAAAAATTCATTCATAATTTTACCTCCAGGCGCAGTTTTATGCAACATATGGGACAAATAACACACAAGTGTCCCATAAAGAACCAGTGATGCATTACTATCAGTTCTGTGGACTAAGTGTGCTGAGTTATGGTCAAAAAAATTGCTTGTCGCCTTTGAATCCGCGATGGTGGAGAAGTGCGTTGAGCCGGATCACTGACACTGGCTGCCTGCTAGTTGCTCCTCTCCCAACTACCTGGGAGTAATGACCGCTCTTCCACACTCTTCCATACAGGCCACACCGCTCATTGTTATTTGTTCTAAATTGCTACTCACTATCAGTCACTTCTTGGACAAGCGTGAATTACTTAAAGATTATGACGTCCAGTGAGTGACAATGAGATGCCGTAGATCCTTGAATTTCTGGTAGGCGCAACCTGGGGGCAGGTAGCTCATGACTAAGGAGTATGTTCAGGGTATTGTGAGTGATCTTGTCTGCCAGGTGTAACGATATGACTGTTAAAGCGGTTTATTATCTTTATTGGTGGAGGAGTAGTGAAGGATGTAGCTAGCAGAAAACCAAGTAGTGAGAATTTGAAAGGATGAGAAGGAGACATCAAATATTACATATTGTACAAATATTACATATGTACAAGAATGTAAGAACTCTTGCATATATAAATAAACAAATAAAAAACATATTATGGTAAATTACTACGATAGCATGGTTTTTGGGCTTTGAGTAAAACTCGTGAGGTATGGGATTATTTATTTAAATTAATTTATATAGTTTATAATAATAATTATTATTGTAAACTTCTTTATAAGTTTGTATAATTTATATGTATTTATTTTTATAACGTTTTTTAGTACATAATTATAGCACGGAATTTAACTAAGCAATAGACACAGTAGTAGTCTAGGTACAAGTAATAATACATTCAGTTATTCAATTCAATTGAGTAACTGATTCCATTACCCAATACGATTATCTTGAGATGATTTCGGGGTTTAGCGTCCTTGCGGCCCGGTCCTTGACCAGGCCTCCTTTTTGTTACAACCACCCCCCCCCCCCCCGAGAAGTAGCCCGTAGCAGCTGTCTAACGCCCAGGTACCTATTTACTGCTAGATAGCAGGGGCATCAGGATGAAAGAAACATTTTGCCCATTTGTCTCTGCCTCCACCGAGGATCGAACCCCGAACCTCAGGACTACTATTTTTTTTGGGGGGGAGGGATATTCCTGCGCGGGCCCTAAGCCTCTGGCTGGCCCACTAAGTGTTGCTTATTTCTGTATTACTTGGGCGGAGTATGAGTATTTATGACTCGTATGGTCGCTTCAATAAGATTTTGTCCCATGTGTTTTACAACTTCTGCTCTGTTGAATCTAAGTTGAAATCTTAATGGCTTTGTAATTTTGTACTGTGTTAGATATGTTCCAGTGGTCTGTCGGGCATTTCTCCACAGTGATGACATTTCCTCTCATCTTCCGGAACTTGTAAGCCTATTTCCCATTTCCCATGCACATGGGTATCCAAGCCTGATGCGATGTAAATGTACTTCTGTTGTTTTACTGCTCCCTTTCATCAAAGTGGTTTGTAGTTGGTTGAATTCTAGGACCAACCCGCAGATCCTGACTGTACATCTTTTGCATTGATCTGTTTCTAATTACTTTCTTAATCTGTGATAAACTCTGTGGTATGTAAATGTCTACATTTCTTCTCGGACATCAGAAGAAGAGTTAACAGTGTAACATTTCAACTGATCTTATTCCTGTAACCTACGACAGATCTCAGGTGGAATGTGAAATGTGTGCATGAGGCTGATTAATCTAACGTATGCTGGCACCAACAACATTAATATCCTGTGCCTGCAGTTAAGAATCGTACACAGCAAGCACAACAAACAAAACACCACCCAATTTCTCAGGTCGAGTAGTATTTGAAAATGTTGGTTTACGTGACGCCAGGAGCATGATATATGTTAAAAGTAACAACATCTGTAAACATGATGCAGTCCACAATAGTCATTGTTCAACGTTACTGCTGTGCGGACATCTTCTCGTAGGGTTACGTTTTGCTTTCAGGCAACTTAATTTTTTACGGTATCTGGACTTGTGTCTGGACTACGGCGTCTGGACTACGGCGTCTAGACTTGTGTCTGGACTACGGCGTCTGGACTTGTGTCTGGACTACGGCGTCTGGACTTGTGTTTGGACTACGGCGTCTGGACTTGTGTCTGGACTACGGCGTCTGGACTTGTGTCTGGACTACGGCGTCTGGACTCTGGACTTGTGTTTCACTTGTGTCATTTCCCATGACACAATCGTCATGAGTCACAAGGAAGTTGATAGATTTTTATGTCTTTTCCGGGTTGCTCTTGAGACGCCGGGCAGGGGTTTGGAGCCGGCTTGGCCGTAAATTTTTTGTTGTTGTTGCCGGCGGAGGCGGCTAGTTTGTTTATTGTGCACCCCATACTCATCCTGTGAGCGGTAGCGCAAAAAGTATTGCCGAGGGCACAAAATGTTTTTATCAGACCTCAACGGAGATTATTACATAAACAATTTCATCTATCCTTCACACCTTATAATTACAATGTCAGATAGTTACAGAGAATGTTCTATTTCAAGAGCTATATATTTACAGTAAGTCATTATACATTAATGGTAGGTCTTATCGCTAATACATAATTCTTTGAGCAACGAAGATATTACAGAGTCATTGGGGAGCTGCTGTTTGTTATTAGTCCTCACAATACACTACTTGTTTCTGAATCTCATATGTCGTTCATCTACTGGAAGCAAAATGTGGGTACAGTGCAAGGATTTCAGGTAATTTATCCATGGTAATAAGATAGGTTGCCATATCATACAGAGTGAGCTTAGATTTATCTCTAAAAGGCTCAATTTTACAACAATCCAAGATATAGTGTTCGAGTGTGTGTCCCTGCCTATGTCCACACACCTTACACTTTACTTCATCTAGATCCCTATACAAGCCGAACTGCCAGAGATACTTGTAGCCAAGTCTTATGCGAGCTGTGACAACATCTGTTAGTCTACTGACTTTGTTACTTGCCCCATACACATGTTTTACTTCACACATTTCATTGTGATGAACAATGGACCTACTAGTTCCAGTTTGCACTGTTCTTATAGTATGTTCCTATTCATCCGGGGTTCAGAGATTGATTGGGGTTTGTGGTGGGATGACAGCCTTACCGCTTTTGTTGCCTTCCATTCGGTCTGAATCTGGCACCTCGCGTGTTCACACGGTTAACCAGGGTCGTGGTGACCCATCTGCGTCTGCTAGGTCTTCGGGTTCTGGCCTACCTTGACGACTGTTTAGTGTGGGCTTCCAGCCGGTCTGCGTGTCTGCTAGCCAGGGATCTGGTTTCTTCCCAGCATGCCAGGAAAGGGTTCCTAGTGAATTGGCGGAAGTCCCAGTTGGTTCCGTCCCAGGTTCGGACTTGGCTAGGTCTTGTATGAGACTCTCGGACAGCGTGCGTCTCTCCCTCCTGTAGCTTTGCTCCGGCTGTAGTCCTGTTTTCAGCTGTTTTTGAGGGGGGGGGCCGGGTCACCCGGCGGGTGCTTGAGCAACTATGTGGGAGCCTGAACTTTGCCATGCTGGTTTATCTGCTGGGGAGGGTTTGGCTTTGGAGGTTGTTCTGGTATTTTCAGGGCAGCCCCTTTCGCCGCTCTTGTAACCGCTGGGTTCAGCCCCCAGTGTCCTTACGTTGGTTGCTGCGTCTCCAGCTTCCTCTTCGGGTGTTTTGGGGTTCAGTGTCATGGTGCCTTCCCCTTCCCTTGCACGATGTGTTCACAAACGCCTCGTCTCTCGCTGGGGCTTTGTGGCCAGCGCTCACCAGTCTCGCCAGGGTCGTTGGGCTCCGGCCTTCCATCGGGCTCACAGCATGGTGCGGGAGTTTGCGGCTGTGTGGCAGGTGCTGCGGCGGATTCAGCCTGCTCGGGGCTCAGTGATCCTGCTCGATTTGGACTGCTCTCTTGTGGTTTATTGTCTCAACCAGGGAGGGGAGGGGGGAGTTTGCGATCTGTGACTCTTTGGAGCTGGTCGCTTCAGGTAGCTGAGTTCTCTGGGTTTAGCTTACTGCACTGTTCACATTCTGGATGTGTCCGACGTCCTGTCACACATTTCATTTCCCTTTCCAGGGAGTGGACTCTTCGAGTTGGCATGGTCTCGGTGGCTCCTATTGTATGTGGCGCCGTTTCTCGACTGTGAGGTTCTCGCGGTGGACGCTTTTCGGTAGGACTGGTCGAGGTGGGGGTTCATATATCTTTATCCCCTAGTCCAGCTGGGGCTCCGGGTCTTGGCTTGACTCGAATCCTATTAGGGAAGAGTGCTTCTCCTGGCCCCATGGTGGCCGGCCCAGCCT